TTTTTAAAATTAAAGTTTTGCCTTGGATACATTTTAATTTAGAATTTTGTATTTAAATTAAAAATTAAATCGCTATATTAAAATTTGTAAAAATTGTAATTTAGTACAGTTAAACTTTATTAATCCACACTTTTCACAGTAAAAATTCAATTTAAAACATTTATTAAATAAGAAAAGAATTTAATTTCAATTTTTCATTAAGAAATTTTTAATTACAAATTAATACAACTTACCCTGTCTTTGCCCTGTCTTTACCCTGCCTTTGTCCTGCCTTGCCTTGCCTTGCCCTGTCTTTACCCTGCCTTTGCCCTGCCTTGCCTTGCCTTGCCTTGCCTTGCCTTGCCTTGCCTTGCCTTGCCTTGCCTTGCCTTGCCTTGCCTTGCCTTGCCTTGCCTTGCCTTGCCTTGCCTTGCCTTGCCTTGCCTTGCCTTTTTGTAATAGTTGTACAAACAATGATAAAGGTATTCTTTTTATTTTAAAAAAATCAAAAACATTTTAGAATAAACTTCTGTAAATGATCAACACGTATATTGACATACACATCCATACAAAAACATGCAAAAGCCAATCATGCCAAACTCTTTGTGGCATTCTATGTCACACGGCTCCCATTTACCGACGTTCCAAAATGAGCATGCATTATACTCTGCAAGGTTTTTTTTAAAAGTTAAAATTGGCATTTTCTCTTTCCCCCCTAGGACCGGACGGGCTTCATTACAGACCTATTTATGTCAATATTTACCAACAGGGCCGGGCGAGGACTTTTGGTCTGGGGGCAGGGGTCCAAAAAATCAGCACAGGTAGCTACCTGTGCCGATTTTTTGCAAAAATTTTTTTTCCGGAAATCCACAGGGGGGGGCCACGTTCAACTTTTTTTCAAAAATTTTTTTTGGGGGTACACCCACCCGTCCCCCCCTCGCGCCCGGCCCTGCTTACCACCCTCATAGGCCTAAATTTACCTGCCTGGCCGTTCATATTAAAGTTGAAAACAGGTTTTACTCACTAGAAATCCTTTGGCAATCATCACCATTCACTAGTTCACAAATCAAAACTGTCAAAAACAATATTAGCAGTAGAACTTTCATTATTGTAATCAATTTTTAAACTTTCAAAAGCCTAAATTTTGTAAAATGTCTATACAAATTAATTGACGTTTAGTGTGATAGCGTACACAATAGTTTGTACATTACAATTTTAAAAAATTAAATTTAATGTGTGTGTGTAAACTGCTGTAAGCATAACATAGTTTCTTTTTAGGCTTTCTGTAAAGAATTTTCAAAAAAATTGTTTTATTGTATAACTTTTCCTCTACAGGCTGCAAACTATAATATCTTTAAAATTTTACAAAAAAAGTTGAAATCTTTCTTTAAAAAATATAAAATAGCAAGAACTTTCTTTACAAAATGACAAATTGCAAGAACTTTCTTTACGAAACAGAAAACGGCAAAAACTTTCTTTACATACCAAAAAATTGCAAAAACTTTCATTACAAAACAGAAAACGCCAAGAACTTTCTTTACATAACAAAAATTGCAAAAACTGTCTTTACAAAACAAAAAATATAAAAAATGATTTATTTGAACAAAATTAGCAACCAAAATGTATTTCATTTATGGACATTCAACTTCACAGACGCAGCCTGTAACCACCTGACAATAACCATAAGCGTTGAATTCTGCGTGACATTCGTGGTCGCACTCATAATAGTCACCGCCAATGTAAAATGGGCATGGGTTACCAACTACAAATTGAATTGAGCTATTTTTGCATATACCCTACCCTACTTTACCCTACCCTAGTCTACCCTACCCTACCCTACCCTACCCTACCCTACCCTACCCTACCCTACCCTACCCTACCCTACCCTACCCTACCCTACCCTACCCTACCCTACCCTACCCTACCCTACCCTACCCTACCCTACCCTACCCTACCCTACCCTACCCTACCCTACCCTACCCTACCCTACCCTACCCTACCCTACCCTACCCTACCCTACCCTACCCTACCCTACCCTACCCTACCCTACCCTACTCTACCCTACCCTACCCTACCCTACCCTACCCTACCCTACCCTACCCTACCGTACTGTACCGTACCATACCGTACCCTACCCTACCCTACCCTACCGTTGCCCTACTCTCCCTACTCTATTGCACAGTATTCCGACTTACAGTACATTAACCAAAAATACAGTACTTACGAGGATGTTTCAAGCAAATTTTATTACTGACTGACTGTTGAAACACAGCTACCATAAGCAAAACAATAACAAATAGCTTCATTTTTACAGTCAAGAAGCACTATATTACTAGCTATCTGTTACAATGTAAAAGCTTATATACATTTCTTATTTTTAATTAGTAAAAATCAAAAATTGATTTTGTAAAAATTTAATTCACACAGTAAAAACTTTAATAACTGATGTTATAGGCAATAAAACTCTTCCGCAACACATTTCACACAATAAAAAATTAATTTAAAATTTTTATTGGTTTTGAAAAATTAAAATTTATATTTCAATTTAGACTTAATAAATATATTCGCTAACGTATCCTTGTGTCAATATAAACGAGATTTATAAACCTAGGACCACAAGGAAAGTACCCGACCTGCCTCGCTCAGAACCAACTCAAAATTTTCATATGAATTCCTTGTACCACCAATAGTACCCATAAAAAACATGAGCTCGCGCTTTTCACTTTTTAATTTGAATTATTTTGGTTTCCCTCCAATTTGGAAAATTTGGCATTGTGTTTCAAGCACTTTTTGACTTCCCAGCCAAACTACATTTACAAATTTAAAAACGTAGGTTCATTTAAGGGTATTCTACGAATATATCAAAGAAAAATAATTAACAGTCAAAAAATGACAAAGTTATAAGCTTGAAACACAATGCCAATTTAGCGGGAAGTTCAAAACCTCATTTTTTGATCTCGATTTTCTCGAGATTCCTTGAAAAGCGCGAAGTAATGCTTTTCTGAAGGCCTTATATTTACATAATCTTCTTATATAAAAATTTTGAAGTTAATCAGAGCGCGGCAGGTCTTTGTTAATATTATTACTCACATCAGGTCCCGAAGAACCGTTCCAAAAATTGCTTCGAGGCAGCAATATGCAGCCGCCCCTGGTGCTGCCCACAATAGCTAACACAAGCAGGCGGCTTATGCTCGCTGGTCGAACTTCAGGTTTTGAAATTCTTAGGTCATTTTTGTTGAAAGAAAAATATTTTATTCGCCGGCTAGTCGTTTTGAAAGTTGTCTTTTGAGTGGGTTCCTGCTCTTTCTTCATTTCTCTTCTGTATCTTCGTTTTTTGTGGAAAAATCGAATCTATCATTTATTACCCAAATTTTTAGAAATAAAAATTACAAAAACAGTTCAAAACTTGTTTATTCGTCAAAATTAAAAAAAAATTTTTAATTTTTAAAAAATTAAAAATTAAAAAAATTTTTTTTGTTAGCATGGATATTCACAAAAGCAGCCTTTCACTATTTTGCAATAACCATAATTGTAGCCCTGTTTCTTACATTCTCGATTGCATGGCCAGTAATCACCACCCATGTAAATTGGGCATTTGTTATGATCTGTAAAAAGTTTTTACACATTATTAGTACGGTAAAACACTATATTTTGGTACTATTACTCTTAGTTGACAGCTGTACTTTACCTTACTCTATCTTGCCATACCCTACCCTCTCCTACCCTACCCTATCCCACCCTACCCTACCCTACCCTACACTACCCTACCTTACTCGACCCTACCCTACCTTACCCGACCTTACCATAACATACCCTGCCCTACTCTGCATTGCCTTAATTTTCCCTGTCTTGCTCTCGGCCCTACTTGGTCCTGCACGATCTTATTCGGCTCTAGCTAGTTCTACCCGGCTTTAATCGGCCCTACTCTACCCTCCCCTACCTTACCCTATACTACCTTACCCTACCCTACTCTACACCCTCTAGTCAATTACTATATCATCATTAAACAAGTATTACTGTAAGAAATATACTGTACGTACAAGGGCGTCTCAAGCAAGTGTCAGCTCTTACTGACTGTAGAGCCACAGCTACCATAAGCAAAACAACAACAAAAAACTTCATTTTAGCGGTTAATCGAGGATTTATCACTAGATATTTAGTGTAAATCAAGATTTTAAAAAAATTAAGGCTTACGTACAATTTTTAACTTTAGATATAAAAATTTAAATTTCAATACAAATTTGGTTCACACAATAAAACTATCAAACAATGATGTTTTAGGCAATAAAACCGTATTACAGCACATTTCACACAATAAAAATTGAACAATCACTTAAAAAAGTGCTCAACGAATCAGCTATTAACAGACCTCTCTGGAGCCATTAACAGCCGTTCCTGAGACCTAGACTAAAACGAAGACTAGCCTGATGATCAAGAGCGGGCACTTTTGGTGTGGGGGCGGTGATCGAAAAAATTTTTGCAATTTTTTTGTTAAAAAAATCATCAATTCACAGGGGGGGGCCACGTTAAACTTTTTTTTTAATTTTTTTTTCTGGGGGGAGGGGCGAGAAAGTGCTCCCCCCCCCCCCCCCTCTCGCGCCCGGCCTTGCTGATGATAATATTTATTTACAAAAACAAAATTTCTATTTGAAATTCAAGATTATTAAATTGGAATCGGATATCCTATAACTTTAAAAATAACGGTATTCTACAGCATGCCACATAATAAATTTTAAAATACCGTACTCCGCACTATAAATCTTGAAATACAGAACTCTACAGTAGAACATTACATTATTCTGCAGTCTACAGTATATCTTTAGAAGTCCGGTACTCTACTGTGTAAATTGTAATATACAGCATTCTACAATAGACATTTAAAAAAATATAGTATTTTACAGCATGACTAAAAAATTACTCTATAATACAATCATAAAAGTACAGTAAAATTTAGTATAAATCAAAAGACAGTATCCTAATATATAGTAAAACTCAAAAATATGCAATAATGTACAGTATGACTAAGTTGATGTTCGTTTTCCAAGTTTGTATTCCTCATATCTGTCTAAAATACGATTGATAAGGTCTGTGGTGGAGACTCCTGGATACCTTTCGGTTTCCAAAAATCTGTCAACGGATTTGAATGGAGCATAACAATCGTTTGTTTGTTGATTTATACTGTACGGTACACTGTCATGGGCCATTAGGTCTACCTGAAATATTATTGGGTTACAGTTAGGCCTAAATATAGATTAAGCCTAAACTTTGTAATTCAAGTTAAGCCTAAATTTATAAAAAGCCTAAAATTTAAAATTTAAATTTGTTCAAAATTTTGAAAAATTAAAAAAACTTTCTTTACAAACGATGAAATAGCAATAACTTTGTTTACAAAGCGAAAAATGACAAGAACTTTCTTTATAAACCACAAAATGGCAAGAACTTTCTTTACAAAACTAAAAATGGCAAGAACTTTCTTTACAAAACTAAAAATGGCAAGAACTTTCTTTACAAAGCGTTAAAATAGCAAAATCTTTCTTTACAAAACAAGAAATGGCAAGAAATTTCTTTACAAACTATTTTAAAACTTAAAAAACTTACCCTCAACTCCTCCATAATATTAAAATTGCTGCTATAAGGAAATCCTTTATAAACTTCATCCACAAATCTACAATTCATCACTGTCATTACCCGTTCTTCCTCTGTAAACACGGTTTGTCGCTTGTGTTTGGCTGTATCTTCGTCACGGCACACTAAAAAATTGTTTTTTTTTAAATGGCAGAAATTTTGTTTACAAAGCACAAAATAGCAAGAACCTTCTTTACAAAACAAGAAATGGCAAGAACTTTCTTTCCAAAACAAACATTAGCACGAACTTTGTTTACAAAGCACAATATTGCAAAAACTTTCTTTACAAAACAGAAAATGGCAAGAACTTTCTTTACGAAATCTATCAAAATTAAAAATTATGACGTTAAAAACCTTTTTTGTTTAAAAACTTACCACCAACAATAAGATAACTATTCGGAATCAGCTGTTTGATCTGTTTGAACTGATTCGCATGGCCCCAGTGGAAGAAATCGTAGATTCCGTCGGCCAGAATACGTACTACTGGCCCAGATACTAAAATTTTTAAAAATTATAAATTAGGTATGAAAAGTTAGGGTTTTGTGCTTGTGTCACAGGTAATTTGATAAAATTATAAAAAGTTTTAACAAAGTTATATGGTAATTAAACCTACCGTCATGGCCTTTTTCGTAAATTTCACTCAAAGTTCTTGGCTTCCAATTCTCCCCACAAGCCTTGATCTTCTCTTTGGCTTCTTGACTCGTACTCAAAATGCATTTTTCTTTGTTAAATTTAAAATTCATCATCTTGTCTTCTACCATGGTATCGTTTCGGTCATACGATATGGTTTTAGCTACTGGGGCCATTGTACTACTGTAATTTCGAAAATTTGAAAAATAGAAAAACATTTTTATAGTAATTTTGAATCTAGCGTACCCTATTATACCCTATGTTACCTTACTTTACCCTATCTTAATTTATCTTACTCTACCCCACCTTATTCTATCTTATCTTATCCTACCTTACACTACCCTACACTACTATACCCCACTTTACATACACTACCCTACTCTTTTAAAATGATACTGGGCCTAAAAGTGTATAAAAAGTCGGGAAATTGTGTAGTAGAAAACATTACTATCGTAGTAAAACTATTATTGTTTTCAACTGTATACAATAAGATAGATAAAAAACAGGAAAACAATACTACGATAACAAAAGGTCAAAAAAACTATAAACAAACAGGTTTAAAAATTAGTTTTCAATTTAAAAAAATCAAAAAAATTTTAAAAATGAATATATAACAATGTCATCTATATCTTTTTATACCTTGTTTAATTCCGTATTGTTACGTGCCTTCGTAACAGGATGTTTAAAAGCTGAACAAATACGCCTTGGAGTTTGAGAATAGACGGCGCAGGAACGTGCATTGACAATTGTTTGAACATACGGTTAATCAACATTGAAACATAACAATTTTAGTTTTGAAGTTTAACAAATAGCGGGTTGTAGTAGACCTTTGAACTCAAATTTTCAATGTGTGGCACGTCTAAAAATATGCAAATTATATATCATAAAATGCACAATTAAATTTACTACAAAATAACATCAAATTCAGTTTTTAAAACGTTTTTTTAGTTTATTAATCATTGAAAAAGATCGCGCGCCCAAAATTTCTCTCCCAACTGAAGAGCCAGTCGATCGTGGCACTTCGTTTCAATCAATATACGCAGCGAAATGTTCGCGAAAAATTCGTTGGGATTTCTTGGCCAACGTTTTGGAAGCTGTTTCCTGTTTTTTAAACCTTTATCGGTTGAACTTTTAAGAAATTAGGTAGTAATTGATTTTCTATATTATCCTTCAAATGAGCTTTAAATTTTTAGTGTAATTTCGTAATTTTCGGTCTTTTTATGGGCAGGTAAACAATATTATTCTTAAAACGTTTTGGTTCAGTTTTTATTGTTGTTTTGTGTTTAGCTAACGTGTTGAAATTGAGAAAATCGTCAGCTATGTTCTCTAATATTCTTCATGATTTCATTTTAGCTTAAACCATGAAATCCATGCAAGTTTCGAGAGCTATCGCTCGTTTGGCCAGCTCCAGCTTGAGATTGGGTGCTCGTCCAGCTCTTCGTCAAGCCGTTCGCTTCTCGTCAAGCGATTCAGTCACCAAGGACCTAACTCAACGTTTGAATGAGGAGATCGAAGCTGAAAAGCGATTGGAGAACGAAAACTTGGGAGGATCTGCCCAACCATCGATACCTGGATTCCAATTGAAAACAAAGGATGCTGAGGTTAGGTTGACCAAGAAGCACGGAAGCGAAGACATCTTGGTTGTATTCAATGTTAACCACTCTGTTGATGTTGAGGAAGATGATCCATCTTCAGATGCAGGTACGAATTTTAATTTTTGTTTGTATTTTTAGGTTTAATGGTTCGATTTTATCTACGAAACATTCATATTGAACAATGTATTATATTTTAACTATATATTTTATAAAATTATACTTTATGTTTTGTTTTCAGCCCCAGTACCAGTAGCTCTACCACCATTCAGTGTTGAGATCACAAAGAGCGGCAAACGCTTGTGCTTTAACATGGTTTTAGTGGAGACTGGAGATGAAGACCAATTCGACTTCCGTGTAGAGGAGTTCTACGTTGCTCCAGCCGCCAAGGACGGAAATGAAGATGTACCTGATGAGGTATATGCTTCAAGTGGAAAATACATCGACCCTGTAGGTTTTTGACCTTATTTGTATATTTTTAGGTGTAGAAAAGATTTATTAAGCTCTTTCATACGTTTTTATTGTCTAAAGTAAACGAAGCCGTTGAAAAACCCCATTTTTGGCTTTCAGAACCTCCATGACGTTCTCTTCGTCCGTTACCTGGAAGAAAGAGGTATTGACGCCGAATTCTGCCGCAACCTGGTACAATTCTCCACTCACTACGAGCACCAGAAGTACGTCGGGTTGCTGTCCCACATCCGCGACTTTGTTTCCCAGAACTAAACACTCCAATTCAAATATTTTAATTAGGCTTCTCATAGGTGATTCGAATGATTACTACCCCGATTCTCATTGTTTGTTTCTTGACCCGTTCAAGTGTTGTTATTTGTTGAGTTATTTGAATAAACCTTTATATTTTTTCTCTTGGATTAGTTTCAGTAGAAGGTAATGAGAAGAATCTTGTTTTAGTTTGAATTGCAAAGGAGGATGGTTAATATTAGTTTATTTTATTGAATATGAGGTTTTTTAATTTCGGGCTTTGAAAAAAGGTATATATAGGTTGTTCTACATTCCTATAATCAGCTGTTTATTAGTGTTTACACGAAAACAAAAATAATTCGTGCATATTTGGCCGTATAACATGTCGCTTTTATTTTTTCTAATTTTCCTTATTTCTCTTTGGAAAAGTTCGCTATTCAGATGCTAAAATAAAGTGTTTTTGTTTGCTTTTTCTATTCTTTATCAATTTTTTATCAACTTCTTCAACTATTCGTATCAAATTTCGATTTTAAGGTAAGTCCGTTATTACTGTTATTGAAAAAATTTAAAGTTTTCGATTTATTGTGGTTGCTAAGGAAGATAAACAGTTTTACATCGAAGATAAGCTTCTTTATTATCTTTTCATCTTGTTTTCAATGTGTTTTTATAAAGCTCTATTTCGAAAATTACTGATTTTGTGTACTTTAGGGTAAACATAAGCTATGATATCATTTATAGCTAAGAAAGCGGACAAACTCAAAAGATTAGTGCATAACCTAGATCCTCAGCGGCTTCTACAGTTCATAACACATCTATGTGCAGTAGTTTTTCTTACTTTCATCACTCCGTTCATAATTCGAGGACTTTTTGCATATCATGTTGTTGATCAGAAGGTACCATTGGATTTTGTCTTCCAGACATGTACAACAGACTACTACGGAGTTTGCTCTTTTCCCGAAGCTAAAATAGACTTGGCTGAAGTGAGTTTTTTTTTCTTATTTGTTTGAATTTTAGGTTTTATTAAGAAAATTGAAGATTTCGACATGGCTTTGGTCAAAGTGAGGGATAACATAAATTGAGAGAACACTATTTTTCTTTCAAATGGAATTTGGTTAAAAAGCTTTAAAATTACATTTTTAATTAATTAAAAACAAAATTTACAAACTTAGCGTTAGTAAAATACCTATATTTCAGCAAAACCTCATCTTACAATCCAAAATGTACTATGACTTTACAATTGATCTGGAACTGATTGAAACAGAGTCCTTAATGTCTTCTAAGGTGTTTCTGACACAACTTGAAGTTAAGGATAACTTGTTCCAGCCTTTGGGGACATTACAACGAAGTGTTAATCTGCAGTATTCATTTTTGTATCGGTGGTTTATCAAAGTAAGCTGTAATACTTTTAAAACCAAAAAACTAATTTTCTGTTTCAAAGATCTATCTTGTCGTTTGGAAGAATGATTTTGAAAGACTATTTTGATGTTTAGATACGAAATTTGACATTCTTTCCATTGTATTTGGTTGGAATGTTGTCTTCGTCGTCGCCGACCGAGTTTCATATAACATTTCCAAGGAGTTATCAATTGAAATCGAATGAAACTGCTAACTTCTTGGTTGTTCAGGTGCAGAGTCGACTTGCTCAGGTGAGTGAAATGTCTTTATCTTCTTTTGTAGTATAGAAAATGGCAAAAAATTTCTTTAAAACACAAAAAATAGCACAAACTATCTTTACAAGACAAAAAATAGCAAAAACAAGCTTAAAGATAACATTTTGTAATACTTTAAATAAAAATCGTATTTTTAGATAAAATACGCTCAATTACACATCGAAGCCAACACCTCATATTTCACCTACTTTTTAAGCTACTACACTATAACATCTTTCATCTTCTTAGCAGTCATATCATGCACAATATACTCAACACTAATGGTAATATATTGGACGATGATCGGCGTAAATGCCTACAATCAGATGCCAAAACTGGAGGAGGATGCGACATTTTCAAAGCCACTAAACATAAAGAATGACACTAAAAATGGGAAAATTCTATTTGATCCGAGGACTATCGAAGAGAAGTTCAAGGATCTGAGTCATGAAGATCTACCCGAATGTCCAAAAGTTCATGGAGTATATGGTTGGGATGTGAAGCCGACTGGCGGGCAAAGAATTGGCTTTGATTAGAGATTTTTGGTTCAATTTGGCCGATTTTGAGCAAAAGTTCAAATTTTTTGAATTGCGGCTGGTTTTGACATTTAAAATCGATTTTTAAGACTTTTATAGTTTTAATGTTATCTGTGATACATTTTAGTTTAGATAGTGCAATTTTCAAAGTATTCAATATATGTAAGCTTTTTTGAATTTTTAAAAATTTAAAAAAAAAAGTTTTAAATTAGTGTTAGCTGGGTAATATTTTGAGAAAAATTTCGGTTTTTAAAGACAAAAGTTAGTATGAAAACAATTTAGACCTCAAATTTATTACCCTTGCCATATCAAGTTGAACTTTTATAGTTTTATAATAAAGACATATCGTTTATAGTTATTTTATTATTTTACTGTTTATTATGACGTTGAAGACGTTTGAATACCTTGGTTATTGAATTTTTATGTTTATTTGCGTTTTTTTTCTTTGGTTTTTATTTGAATTTCGTAAATTTTTTACCTAAAATAACTGAAAATGAGTGAAAACGGCGGTTTTTTATCCTGTAAAGAAAGTTTTTGACATTTTTTGTTTTGTAAAGGAAGCTCTTGCTATTTTTTGCGCTGTAAAGAAAGTTCTTGTCATTTTTTTGTGTAAAGAAATTTTTTGCCATTTTTTGTTTTGTAAAGAAAGTTCTTGCAATTTTTACCATTTCAACCGTATGTAAATTTCAGTGACCGAAAAACGGGTAAAGGTTGTAAAATCGACCATAGTCAAGTCAAGAATCCCAACTTCCAAGAAACTCCATCGGCAGGTCATGACGTCGAGACGTGCATGATTCCAGCCACCGCTCACACATCCCATGGACCACGGTTTCCTACGCTCCACCAAATTACTGTGCCCCGGCTTCTGTGGTCGCGTGTTGATTAATGCCACCGAATATTCGCAGTGTCAGGCGTGTCCGTGGGGTAGGTTTTGGTGTTGTGAATGAGTACAAGTTGTAATTTTAGCAATTTTCACTGAGATTTTGGGATTTAAAAGCGTTTGAAAGTTGCAAACGGTGTTTTTTATTAAATTTTTCTGTATTTTTAGGGAAATTTTGATTTTTTTGATGTTTTAGATTGGAGTTAGGTATGAGAAAAAATAAAATTTGTTTTTAGTATCATAAAACTGCTTTACAATATCAAAAACTTTGTTTTTAATACGGCAAAAGCATGTTTTGGACCTTTGTTTTTGACCGGGATAGAACCCATGTAGTCTGGAACGAAAAGTCAAATCATTGTCACTGAACTAAATTGGTACACTGTTGTATATTGACATAGATGTCAAGAAAATTAACAGTAGTATAAAACGAAGTATTTTTATGGGTTTTAAAAGTTTTTTTTTAAAACAAAAATTTGAATAAAAAAAATTTTAAAAATATTTTGAATTTTTGAAATTCGGACTTTTTGAGGTAAAATACGGATTAACCCAAAATTATGGTAATAAGTCAAAAAAACAAGACATAAAAAATGAAAAACAAATTTTTTAAACACTAACACATAAAAACGAAAAGTTTTTAAAAAATTTATAATTTTTCAGGCACGCGCGCCCTGGACAGCTACGAATGTCGCCCATGCCATAACCCGCTCACTTCCTACGACTACTCATATCTCGTCTTTCATGTAATCACCTCCTTCTTCATCAACTCAATTTTTATTCGTTTATACGCAAAAACCATCCAGAATCGCAGCAAAAGGTCCAGGGAAACGTGAGTTTTTGAGTGTTTTGGGTGGAAACGGCAAAAACTTTGTTTCCAGGGCAAAAACTTTATTACTTTTGTGTACTATTATGTTTGGCTTAGCATTTTCATGTGTTTAGTCCAGCGTTTCAGTACCACTTCCTATTTTTAGGCCATTCTTCTGGCAACTAATGCAAATGCTCTGCGCAATAACCGAGTCCACGTTAGCCTTGTTGTTATCATTCCTGGCGTTCGAACCACACGGCCAGCTCTCACTAAACGGCTGTCGCAAAGGCCGAATAGCCGAGTGGTACTCGTTTTTGTACAATCCGGTAGTCCACCGAGGACTAATCATCAAGTGCTCGTCTGAAGTGGTTTATCCATTGTAAGTTGGTTTGAGAGGGTTACTGTAACATGGAATTTGTTTTTTAAAATTTTTTGGTTTTCTTGAGGATTATTGTAACATAAAATCAGTTTTTGTGATCTTTGGAGGTTTACTGTAACATAAGACCTTTTTTTTGAAATTTTTCATTTTTAATTGGGTTACTGTAACATCTTTGGAGGGTTACTGTAACATAAAATTTAATTTATATGAAAATAGACTAAAATGTCAATTTCCAGAATATCGTTGCCATTCCTAATACACCTCCTCAGCCTGCTGAACCTGTTTGTATTCCGGTCGATTCTGTACGGTGTAGCTCAACGATGCCGTCGCTCAATATCACCAGCCCCGTTCTATGCCCAACTATGGACATTACCGATCATGGGGCTGATTAATGGGGTAATGGTAGGTTGTTTTAGCAATTTTGAAGCTTAAATTGGCTTGCGCAGCCTGCGGGGGACATGTTATACGATGGATGAAAGTTCTTGCCATTTTTAGTTTTGTAAAGAAAGTTCTTGCAATTTTTTGTTTTGTAAATAAAGTTCTTGCTATTTTATGTTTTGTAGAGAAAGTTCTTGCTATTTTATGTTTTGTAAAGAAAGTTCTTGCTGTTTTTAGGTTTGTAAAGAAAGTTCTCGCCATTTTTAGCTTTGTAATGAAAGTTCTAGCCATTTTTTCATAGTTTACTTAATTAACCTTTTCAGGCCGGTCTTCTCTACTACAGTTTCGCCCACATTGTGGTGTTCATGGCACTGGTTTCAAACGCCGTCCACCTGGCATCAGAAGGCCGAAAAGGCGTCCTAGAACTCTTAAAAATCATTTTCACATCAGCCGAGAGAATACTAACGATTGGCACGGATATGGGTTTATTCGGTTTTGGCGTTTTCGCCCTATATTTCCAACTAATGCCAACCAGCTGGCACGGATGGGTCGCCTTTATCTTGACTTTACCGTTGCCACTAGTGTTCTATTGTCTTACAGTAAGATTGACAGAGCCCAAAAAACCACGGATAAAACATTGATAGGGTTGTGAGGGTTAGAAGTTTGATAATGTTGGTTTAAAAATGGCAGAAAAGGGGGTTTTTGAGGAAAAATGGAGGTTTTTGAGACAAAAATGATGATTTTAGCGGAAAACGTGGTTATTTTGAGTTGATTTTCAGTAATAATGGGCTTTAAATTCTTTTTATTTGTTAAGAGAAGGATTTTTGTAATAAGTGTTGGGCGGGGTAAAAAAAATTTTTTTTTGAGGGGGGGGGGTAAAAAAATTTTTTCTGAAGTTATCAAGAGAGAAGGGGACCGAATTCAAGTTTTTTCATTCTTTTAAATTTTTTTTTATTTTCACCTTTTCTACCCTCTACCCCATCAGCAAACACCCCCGACCGCTATTTTTTTAACTATTAACTTGAACCAGAAGTAGCGGGACACTTTATGATTAAAAAAATAAATAAAAAGTGTCACGCCATTTTTGGTTCAACATAATACCTTCAAAAATTTTATTTTAAAATTTCGAAATTTTTCACAAATTGTAAAGAAAGTCTTATGGGTAATATAATGTTGTGTAGATATGATTGTTACTATCTTTTTACGCTTCAAACCGATCTCACGTTTCAACTTACACATTCAATGTTGTTGTACTTGAATAAACGTTATTTTTACGACGCATTTTGGTCGATTTTGCGATAATTATGGTCGATTTCCGGTATTTTTTAATTATTTTAAAAATTTTTGTTACAGTAAGATTTGCAGTATCATTTTAGGCTTACAAGACTGATTTTTAAAAAATTTTTTTTATTTAAATTTTTGAAATTTTAAAAAATTTCAATTCAAGCTCATATGACACTTAAAAATGCAATAACTGTGGTCCTAATAGTACTACAACTACAATATGCATCCGGATCAGCTGGAGATGGCTCACCGTTCTTCCGCGAATGTCAAAATGAATGTGTAAACAAGTTTGACTGCCCAATGAGCGATTTCGCCTTTGGATGGACCCAAAAAACGTGCTTTGAGTAGGTTGGAAAGAAAGTTATTGCCGTTTTTTGTGTTGTAAAGAAAGTTCTTGCATAAATTTTAAAAAATTTCAGTTGTCGTCAAACCTGCATTTGGATTACGGTAGCCCTGTTCCACAGGCATGGTCATAACACGCCTCAATTCTTTGGCAAATGGCCATTCTACAGTATCTCCTTATCATTTCTACAGTATTCGATAGTAATTCAAGAGCCGGCTTCAGCCCTATTTTCCGTACTAAACCTAGCCGGCTGTCTCTACATGTTCAACACCCTAAGGGACAAGTTATGGAATCTGCCAGGCCTATATAACCTAAGACTTCAATGGTTAATGTATGCTGGTCTGGGCTCGTTGGTATGGATATTCAGCACGGCGTTCCATTGCCGTGACTTTTGGCTGACCGAATATCTGGATTATGCGGCTGCGTCTGCGTTGGTATTCTATGCATTCTACATGAGTATCATGCTAGTTTTTGGGTTTATAAGACGAAATTACTATCTGTAAGTTCATGGGTAATATCTGGTTTGGTTAATAAAGGTCTGGGATGTAGGGTAAGGTAGCGAAGGTAATTTAAGATAAGATAAGGTAAATTAAGGTAAGGCACCGCAGGGTAGTTAGGGGAAGGTAGGGTGGGGTAAGATATGGTAACGCAAGGGAGCGTAGGGTAGAGTAATATAGAGAATGGTACGGTAATGTAGGGAAGCGTAGGTAAGTGGAGGAGGGGATAGTTAGGGTAGAGAAGAATAAGGTAGTGGGGGGGGCATGCCCAAGCGCGTTTTAGGCTTACTAGGGAATTGCACCAAATATCCCTCGGCTTTTTGAACAAGACCTATATAGGATGAAAGAGCATAAAAAGTTACCGGGAAAACTGTTTTCAAAAACTGCTAAATAGATTCGGCTAGCGAGATATTAGCGATTAAAGGAGTTACATAGGGTTTCCTATTTGATCATTCTCATTTGTCTTGAGTAAAACGAATGGATGAGTGTGGTCGAGTGGTTAACAAGTTAGGGGTGCAAAAGGAGGGAAGTACGGATCCCGCCGGTTTCATTTTGGCGCCCAGCCATGCTGACAAGAAGTTTTGGCTAGCCAAACAATATTTTGATTAAAAAAATACTTTTTAAGTTGTATTTTTTGCTTTTAGACACTTTTAGGAAGACATAATTATCAAAAAGTAGCATTTTTTGAACTTTAAAGCTATACCCTTTAAACATATAAGGATATAGAGCCTACTGTAACTCGCTATCCAAGTCCATTTAGCAGTTTTTGAAAACAGTTCTCATGGTAACTTTTTATGCTCTTTCATCCTATATAGGTCTCGTTCAAAAAGCCGAGGGATATTTGGTGCAATTCCCTAGTTAGCCGGTAATTTTAGGCTTAACGTATAATTTTAGGCTTAAATGTACACAATGTAAGGCTTACCACAGAATTTTAGACACAATGTAGGGTAGGATAGGTTACGGTAGGTTAAGGTTGGCTAGAGTAGGGTAGGGTGGGGTTGGGTAGGGTACGGTATTGCAGTGTAATACGGTTGGTAGTGAAAATTATAAAAATTTCAAAAAAAAATTTAATTTAAATTTTCAGAAGCTCTGCTACAGGTTTGGCAGTGTTTTACAGCTATTCTCGACTAGTCAATCATTTGTCTTTGAGTCACAAGTTTGATTATGGCTACAACATGCGTGTCTGCATTTTGGTTTCCTTTACGACTGCCGCATTGTACCTGTTTTACATTTACTGGGAATAGTAAGTTTGTTCTTGGGTCCCACCACGATTTCCTTGAATATCAGTAAAAATTTAAAGAGTATTGAAAATGAGGGTTTATGGACTAAAACAGTCTTAAAAGGCATGGTAGAATATATAAAAAGTATTTTTTAAGTTAACTTTGGGTCCCACCACGATTTCCCTGAATATCAAGGAAGTTGTAAAGTGGATTGAAAATGAGGTGTTACGGGATAAAATAGTCTTACTTATGGCCAAAAATCGTCTTGGGAAATGGCAGATTTTATAAAAACGTAGTTTTTAAGTCACTGGTTGGGTCCCACCACGACTTCCCTGATTATCAGGATAACTTCTCAAACTGCAAAAACAATATTAAAATGCCATTTTAGCACAAACGCTCGCAACCGTGAATCCCTCAAAATACTACTACAAATTTTACTGATCTCCCTGGGCTCGTCAGCATTTGAATTACTCGATTTCCCGCCAATTCTTTATCACCAAATCGACGCCCACTCACTATTCCATTTAGCCACCGTGCCCACGCCTTTCATGTTGACCAGATTTGCCTTGTTAGAAGATGAATACCGTAGGAATAGGCAAAGGTTGCATGAAAAGAATTTGTAAATTAAAAACGAGGTGGGGTTATAGCTTTAAGTTAAGCCTAGTGTAATATAATTATTGATTATGTTAATTTATAATAATGTGATATGATCTGAGTACGATAACAAACATATCTTAATAATAAATTGTGTCAAACAAGCATCGATTATTTTTACACGATACTATCTAAAAGTATTGGTCTAAAAAGTCTTATTGTTTTTAACCGTGAAAAGCAATGCAAAATTACGACAAAACTTTTTAACCGCTTTTAAATGTTCAAAATTTCAAAAAATTTTAAAATGTCAATGAAAAGCGATATTATCAGTAAAAATTCAAGCCCAAATTCAAATTTTTACATTTTATTTTTTTTCAAACAATAAAACTTTATAAAATGAACAATATCCATGCTGGTTGGGGGCGGTTGAGAAATGTTGTGAAGAGTGTACCTGAAATGGTGATATGATAAGACGTACAATACGATATGACAGCATATGTGAAGACCCTATGGTGATTTAATACTTAAAATTGATAACTTTTTTAATTTTAATACCTAAATTTTAATTTTTTTGATTTTAATACCTAAAATTTCAAAAAAAAAATTTTTGATACCCAAAATTTAAAACTTTTTTTTCAATTTTCCAATACTTAAAAATCTCAAATTTAATAGTCAAATTAAAAATCTACTTAAAATTTCGCTAAAACTTCAATTTCCAAACTCAAAAATACTTTTCAACCCGCCTGAATACCATTTTCACCCTTAACAGGACCAAAAAATACAAAAAAAACCCAAAGAACAACAAAAATTAGGCCAAAACATAAAATATACAATAAAGTAAAAAAATATACACAGTAAAATCAAAAACCTACAAAATGACTGGACTTTACAGCCAAAATCCACATCCAAGACCATAAAAAACATCAAAAAACTGGTCGAAAGACAATTGAAAAACAAACAAGATCACATGAACAATACATAAAAAGGTGAGATTTTGAAGTTGACAAATCCACAAGACATCAAAATCCATTTTGTGGTCATAAAACAGTGAGCTGTATCAAAAAGAGTGGCTAAAAACGTTCAAAAATCCATAAAATGAGCAAAAAATCGAGAAAAAATCCAAAAAATCAATTGATTCGAAGTGTCCATCGACCGGTCGATGACTCTAACAATAATATACACGTAGCTGAGAGTCTTCTACACCATTGTAAACCATCGTATCATTTCAAATCCTAGTTTTCCATCACAACGCATCAAAATCCAACATCCACAACATTTGATGTTCATAGACAATATAATCGTTGAAATTGGTCCAATCCACACCAAAATATGCAAAATTTTGTCGAATTCTGATGAAATGGAATCTTCGCCATCTAACAGTAACCATCGTAACATCAAACACTTCCAATTTCCATCCAAAACACATCAATTTCCAACATCCTCAACATCAGATGGCCATGAACAATATAATCACCGCCACTGATCCAATCTCCAACAAATCTTTCAAATTTCCGTAAAATTCCAATGCAACATGACCTTCTCCATCTAACAATACCAATCATTCACCACATCTTCACCTCATACATCTGTAACATCCATTTTAGTTGACCAACATCATCTCATTTTAGGTCAAAGTCGATGTCAAGGTTAGATTGGAAGCCATGATCGTAGTTTGAGTCCCTGTTGATCGCAAATATGGCCACTGAATGGGCAGTTGAGGAATGTTAGGATGGGGCTGTTGATAACTGGCAGGCCGTAAAAGAGGACCAGTAGGAAGACGAACATGACAATGGTGGTGATGATGGAGAATACCACAACCAGGAGACGGGTTCCTTTGTCGCCAAATTGCATATACGGGATTAGGGCTGAAAATATGCTATTACAGTACCAATTTTATAATTTAAAAAAATTTTTTTATTTTTAAAATTTCAAAAAATTTTAAAATTTCAAATCCTTACCAGCACTAGCCAAACACCCAAAAATGAATCCAAAGATATGTGCCCAGTTGTCGACATATGGCAAAAATCCAGTGATAAACAGCAGTAATGCCAATAGTAAGTGCAGTAATAGTGCTCGTACTGGATTGCTCAGAAACTGCCAATTGTAAATGACATCGATGATAAGGGCACCAAGAACACCACCTTGTGAGCCGGCTGGTCCTACTTCTGGCTAAAATAAATTTTTTATTCTAAAGGTCAAACCGCGCCGTTATTGTTGCATCGATCACAAAATTAAAAAAAAAAAGTTAACATGTTACCTAAAATACCAAAAAATCATTTGTTACCCAAAATAAAAACAAAATGTTGTTATCTAAAAGTTAAAAGGTCAAAACTCACCATATAAGGCTCAAAAGAAGCGCTAGCCAAATATCCGCCCACTCCCGACACGAAATATATAATGGCTAGCCTCAGGGATCCAATTGCTTGCTCAAACTTTCTCATAAAGTACAGTTGAATAATGCAGGTAATCGCAAATCGGATGATACTAGAATGAAAAACGATATTATAAAAAAACAAAAATCCACCCCCAAAAATTTTTTTTTAAATTTACCCCGCCCACAAAAAAATTAAAAAATCTGTTCTATCACTAAAAATCAAAAAAATCCAAACCGAAAAGAAATTCAAAATTTACCCCGCCCACAAAAAAAAATAAAAAATCTGTCCTATCACTCAAAAATCAAAAAAAATTACCCCGCCTTAAAGAGTTTCAAAATTTACCCCGTATACAAAAAATTTAAAAAAATTACCCGCCCACAAAAATTAAAAAATCCACCAAGCCTCTAAAAATGTTTTTTTTTAACTCTACTCTTAACAAAAATTCTAAACTTACCCCGCCCACAACAAAATCAAAAATAATACCCCTACCCAGCTTATACTTACCCAGCATGAATAAACAGTGGAATGACGAAGCGATAGAACTGATCCGGCACGTCCTTCATCAGGAACGGTGTCATTCCGCACACATCATTCAGGCACGACACCTGGCTACAGAGAGTGGCATTCTCGTGGTAATATCCTCGTACAAAGTCGCAGTATTCTCGGGTGGTTATTCTGCATTGGCCGTGCATTTGGATGCAGCATGGGCGGCCGACCAATGGGCAATGCATATGAGGTTCACGCGTCGTGATATTCTCCATTTGTTGTTGGCATTGCTGAAAAAAAGTGTTGTCGTTTTTTGAAAAATAAGCCTAAAGACCAAAAAATAAGCCTAAAACTCGTAAAATTAGACAGAACTCTAAGAATAAGCCTATAATCAGTAAAATAAGCCTAAATTTAATCGACTAAACATAAAATCCAAAAATAAGCTTAAAGTCAGTAAAATAAGCCTAAAGTTAATCGAATAAGCTTAAAACCCAAAAATAAGCCTACAGTACAAAAACAAGCCTAAAGTCAGCAAAATAAGCCTAAAGTCCGTAAAATAAATCTAAAATCGCCCAAATAAGCCTAAATTGCAAAACTAAGCCCAAATTTTAAAAATAAGCCTAGAGTTAATCGAATACGCCCAAAAATCCAAAAATAAGCCTAAAGACAGTTAAATAAGCCTAAAGTTAATAGAATAAGCTTAAAATCCAAAAATAAGCCTAAAGTTAATCGAATACGCCCAAAAATCCAAAAATAAGACTAAAGACAGTGAAATAAGCTTAAAGTTAATGAAATAAGCCTAAAATCGTCCAAATAAGCCTAAAATCCAACAATAAACCTAAAATCGACCAAATAAGCCTAAAGTTTTTAGAACAGGCCTAAAGCCTTTAAATTAAGCCTAAATTCCATAAATACACCTATAAGCACAAAATCAACCCCAAAACTCATATCAAGCCAACAATCTCACTCACCGGCCAATCCGTGATATTAGGGCCCCAATCATACGGTGCCGCGGATCTCGGCGTCGCACAAAACCTAGGGTCTTGACCACAGACGATTCTCTGTTGAGTTTTGTCATTATTTATGTATTTATGGAATGTGGCAAACTGTTGAGGACATGATGAGGTTTGAAAGCAGCCGTCTGGTCCGATACAACAGCCGGTTTCTGAATTCTCGATTTCTCGCTCTTCCGTTATCAGTTTGTGGATTCTGGCATCACGACGCATACAGGGCGTGTATTTGGCTCCTATGTGAACTAGATCGGCCTGAAATTTATAAAATTTTGAAATTTCGAAAAATTTTTAAAATTTCAAAAAAAATTTTTTTTTTAATTTTCCAATAAAAAAAAACTCAAACTTAAGATTAGGAGCCCAAAATTTTAATCAGAAACAAATTTAAAACCTAAAAACTCAAATTAAAACCCTATTTAAGCCCAAAAATCCCGCAAAACCCACAAATCTCGCCCCAATCCAAATGTTGTTCTGTTCCCAAACGACAATGTGGACTGATGACATTGAGGTTGCGAATACGTCACCGCTTCTTTCTGTCACTCCAAATCCTCCAAAGAAATCCGTTCCTATCCCAAAGTGCATCAACGTGAACACCATGATTATTGCTTGTGTTGTTGTGATCCAGTAGGTGAAGAAGGGTCTGAAATTTTAAATTTTTTTGATTTTTCGATAAAAAATTGCATGTCTATTCCAAAATCAAGCAACTAAACAACTACACTACACAAAAATCGTTATTCTAATCAATAAAAACGCTCAAAATCGACCAAAAAACACCAAAAACGGCCAAAATGCCCCAAAAATGGCCTCAAATTTCAAAAATTTTAAATTTTCAAAAAAGTTTCTTAAAGTCATTTTATTGATAGATCAAAATCAAGTAGACAAATAGAAAAACAAACCCAAAAAACCTTATTCGACCCAATAAATCCCCTAAAATCAGCCAAAAACCTTCAAAAACCACCAAACCCCCCTTAAAACCTACACATCCCCCTACCTGCAATCATCCGACTCGTCCTGTAAAATCTTCTTGGCTCTTCCAATCTCCGGATCCACCCGGTACCTTCTTTTGAACTTTCCAAACATTGGCAAAGCGTCTCGTTTCCTCGGCCGTCTTCCGAACAGTCCACAGAAACAGCTCCAGAAGCAGGCCCAAAACGGATTCGTCTCCTTGGCTTCAGTTCGTGGCTGATAAGCGATTCGTTGTCTTACATCGGCCACTGACAGTCCACCACATTGGATCTTTTCCTTCTGTCGTATGAGGTCTCTTAGGCCGTGTCGGCCTGGAGTGCTGGCTGTCGGGGTTCGAGGGTAGTGCTGATATTGTTGTTGATGTTCGTTGACTGTTAGGCTCTGAAACTCGTATTTATAAAGCTTTTCAATGACTTTGATATATAAAACAGTGCTCTTAGCGTCATTTTCAACCATATTTCAAAAAAAAAAATTTTTTGTACCATTTTTGGTACTGCTGATACCATTGAGCCAAAAGTCAATTTTAAAGTACTTTTCAATTAAAAAAATCATTTCCCTGTATGAATATCATCTACTGCCAAAAAAATCATAAAAAAAGTTTGGTACCCTTAATGGTACCACTAGTACCATATTAAAAAATCTTAAAAAGCAAAAACTAAAAAATCATTTTTAAGACCAAAAATCTTACCCTAGCGCCTTCCGGGTACCTGTCGACTTGATCCACTGGAAATTGTCGTATTTTAGTGATTGGCATGGGAATATGGTCGAACTCCTCTATTAGCTCATCGCCTGGTAGATACTCCTGGTGGAACTCATCGTAGGTGTAGAAGGACGGTCGTTGACGTTTTGGCCACTAGAAAAAGCGTTTTAACTCAACAAAATCAAAAAAATCATAAATTAAAAAAATTTTTGGTCCCACCACAAAAACTTTTCAAAATCCTGAAAACCATGAAAAACCTTACCTCTTGCATTTCAATCGCCTCTTCTGGATCCCTGGACCTCATAGACAAGAACAATGGCTGAATCCATTCCGTCGGCCGATCAGTACGATGAACTTGTCTATGCAGATTCGGCCTAGTAGACGTTGATGGTTCATCACGCTGTAGACTCGGCGTTCTTCTTCCTTTCAAATTCAAGCCTTCTGATGATCTTTCAGTTCCTACGACTTCGACAGCCATTGACTGTGCTGGTCGTCGCAGTTCCGGTCGTTCCGACGATGTTCTTGGTCGATTGAGGTATGGTCGTTCCCTCGATGGTGCTCGGATGTTTCGTGGTGATAGTGGGGTACTTTGAGCATTAAAATCTTGAGACCCCAGTGAAGTTCCTGGTAGGTTTTGGTGTTCCGAAGGTGATGATCGTAGGATTTGAGGCTTTGAATCCATTTCCTGTCCATCTGAAGCTACATAACCGGCTAGAAATCGACCAGTTGATTCTTGTAGACCTTCTGTAGATGCACTAGAACCTACTCGTCCTTTTGTAGTACTATACTGTCCTGCACCAGCACTAGATGGCCTTAAACCCGCTTCATATTGCACTTGGCCACCGTATTGTCCTTGACCACTAAATTGTCCTTGACCACTATATTGTCCTTGGCCACCATACTGACCACGCTCAGCCACATATTGACCTTGTGTACCATACTCAACATTTCCAGTATCGTACTGTCGTCGTTCGTCGACTGAAACCAAAAATTTGCGATTTGAAATGCCTTTGCGTACGACACGCAGCACTTTTTCCAATTTTCTGGCCAATCGGATCGGACGAAGGGGAATCCCGGTCGGCTTCGGCTCCATGAATTCGCCCCACATTTTTTTCGTTACAGTACGCGCAATATCACTCGCTCTTTGACACGTACACGACTCGCGCCCGGTTAGATTTTCCGATTCGTACTGGAACATGAAGGAGATGGTTAGTAAACGGTTAGGTTAAGTTAAAAAAAAGACAACTGAGATAGAATATTCACAAGAATTAAGGTTAAAATTCAAAACTGTTACCTAAAGAAGTATAATATACCAAAAAACCAAACGTTGTTACCTAAATTAGTATCATACTTAATAAAAGTTGCAATTGTTATCTAAAGTACCTTTTTAAATCAAATTATTTAAAAGTGTTACCTAAAATATAAATCTTAACCTCAAGAAAAGATTGTTACCTAAAAAAACTAAAAATTCAAGAAATCCCAAAACTGTTACCTAAACTACAAAAAACAATCATAAAATCCACAACTGTTACCTAAAATATCAAAAAATGTCACAAAGCTTACAAATGTTACCTAGAATCCTAAAATATCTTGAATTTTTACCAAAAATACATAAAACAGTCATGAAATCTATAACTGTTAGCTAAAATATCAAAAAAAATGTCCCAACTTCTATAAATGTTACCCAAAAACCATAAAAATCCCAAAAACCTAAAATTGTTACCTAAAATAACATATCATAAGACAAAACCTATAACTATTACCTAAAATATCAAACTATATCAAAAAAACTTTAACTATTACCTAAAATATCAAAAACCCTACAATTATTACCTAAAATATCAAGCAATAACAAAATCCCAACAAATATTACCTAAAAGCCATATCATTATCAAAAAACCCATAATTCTTGCCTAAACTATTCACAAGAACCTAGAATCAAAACAAAGCATAATAAAGAAAGCATAAAACAGCATAATATGCAAATCAAGTGATATTTCATGCAAAATCTGAATAAACTTTCGAAAAATTCAAATTTACCTCAAAGAAAGTCGAAATTTTGAGTGCAACCGCTTACCAAAATCCGCGAAAGTAGAATAATCGAAAAAAATAAAAATTTTTGAATTTTTCGAATTTCAAAATTTTGTTCGAAAAGTTCAAAATTTCAAAAAAAAGTTCGAATTTTGATCAAAAACGGCCGGAAAATCTTCAAATTTCGAAAAAAAAACTTCAAAATTTGCATAAAAATCAAAGAAATTCAAAGAAAAATTTTTTAAAACCAAATAAAAAAACCAAACAAAAATTCAAAAAACTAAAATATTCAAATACTTACGCAAATTTGATCCGAAAAATCCGCACGCAACGCGAAACCAAATTGAAAATGAAATAAATTTAAAGAAAATCGCCAAAAACGTGAACTCTTGGCAACAAGATTTTGTTTGCTGACAAAAAGCCGTCGCCCCGAGCGCACCGAAGTCCGGTGTTGGCTTTTTCCTCAAAAACACGGCCCGGAGACGGATTTTTGTCCGGTTGGCGGACCCCAATCTAGCGGGCTATTCGGAAGCGCGCGCTGATTGGTTGACGGATCGAGAGAGACCTTGCGCGGCGAGAGAGAAGGGGAAATGGAGAGAATGGACAGACATTTTATAAAATAAAACTAATATACCATCATTTTATAAAATATAACATAATTTTATAAACCTTTACTCATTTTGCTAGTTATAAAACACCTTAAAATTTTAAAAACAAGCAAAAATCTATTCAAAACGTCCAAAAAACTAAAAATATTGGTAAAAAAGGGGTTTATCAGCACAAAAACAATTTTTTTGCTATTTTATAAAATCCAAATTCTAAAAAAAAACTAAAAAATACTATTCCACAAGACCATAAAGACAATGTTAAAAGGAGCAAACTAAGAAAAATGTCAAACTATTCGAGAAAACGGATTTTATAAGAATTTTTAGAGCCACCTGCCCAAGATAGTAAGCCACCCGGGTTTTTATGCCATAACAATTTTTACAAAATTGATAGAGACTTGAAATTTGACATGAGCATAGCTTATACTATTTCCTATGACATTCAAGAAAAATATTTTTAAAAAGTACGATAATAATAAAGTTACAGTACTTTTACCGAAGCACTGTTACACAAATTTTCGCTTCTTCGTCCGATCCGATAAAGCCTTACAAAACCTAAACTTCTGCAAACTTTTGATAATAAAATAATGTTCTGTGGCATGCTGTGCCATTTCCACTGTATCATTAAACATAAATTAAAAAAAGCTTTATAATTACTTAAATTTAACAAAAAAAAATTAAGAATTTTCGTTACCCGACTGATTTCTGGCCAATCTGCGTGGTTGTTGGACGACGTTGTGCTGGGTTAATGGGAAGCTTCGCATGTTCCTGACCTTGATTCGTTCTCTGATGGGAGTGTATGGTGGAGGTGGAGAGGCCGAAGTGGAAGCAACCGGCTCCTCTTCGGCCAACGTTGTTAACCGGCGGCGTCGGAAGAGATCACTGAAATCGAAGAAACGTTAAGGTGGGGTAAAGTTAGAGGTAGGGCGTGGTAGCCAAAGCCAAATTAAAAGAGGGCGTGGGTATAAGGGTAGGGGTGGAGGTAGCTGTAGGGGTAAAAAACGGGTAGGGGTAGGGAGGTAGGGGTAGGGGGTAAGGGTAGGGATCGAAGTTGAGGTAGGGCTCGGTTAGGGGTAAAAGTTAAGGTAGGGATGAAGTTAGGGCATATAAAACAATCCCGATATATACTGTCATACTAAACCTACCCTTGTATAAAGCTCTGAAATGCGTTGTAGGCCATTCTTGCTACCGATTCCTTCTTTTCTGGCTCCATTGGAATGGCTGTGTAGACGCTAGCGTTCTCTAGGTATGGCGTCCCAGAATCCAGGGTATCCACTGAAATGAAACTTATCAGTATATCACACCCCACTCTTGATACTACAACAAGCCTCATCAATATATCATAATCCAACCTATTCCAACAAAGTTATACCTAATTAATACCTAAAAACCCTCAAAACATCAATATCTTACCGCTTTTCATTTCCTCCGCCACCTGCTTCTCTTTCACACCGTACAACGAATTCAGATATCTGTAACGTCGTTTTTGCCATTTCGTCTCCTGTGCCTTGGTCTGTTCGTGATCCGAATTCAAAGAGTTGTTGTCATCCGTCATTGGTACGCCAAAAAACTTGGCCGATCCGTGGGAGATCTTCTCGCGGATACTGAAAAAATGAGAAAATTAGCAAAAATTTTTAAAAATATCTTTTAAAATTTGAAAAATATGTCCCAAAATGAACAAAAAATGTCAAGATCTATACAAAAATGTCAAAAAATGCCAAGATCTATTTAAAAAATGCCAATTTATTTTGAAAAATCAAGCCAAAAATTATAATATTTATCAACTTTTCTGATTTTTTTGTATTTTTAGCCATTTTTAAACCTAAAATTATTAATAAATCTATTTTTAGTATTCCTTATAGTATTACCTTTCATTTCTTCTGACTTTAGACCCCATTTCAGATATAAATACTAATTTAAACTCAAACTTTAACTCTCAGTACCACCAAAAACAAAACTTAGTACTAGTAGTAGCAAAGACAGTTATAATCATAAATTAGCCAATACTAGTATTAAAATTAGCCAATATTAATATTAATCAGAGAAGTTTACTTTAATGTTGATAGAACAGCGAATAAAATCGAAAAAACGTCTGAATTTTGATAGATTTCAAAATAAAATTTTCCCTTTTTCGAATTTTGATAACAAACCAAAAAGGACTGTTTCTTATGATCTAAAAAAGTCGTTTCCAATTCATTCCTTTCGTGTTTTCATACTTAATGTTGATTCATAACTCAGCCAGCTGTTTATTATATATGAACTTATTGTATCTATTTTTGGCCGATTTTTTTGAAGTTAAAAAAAAATTTTGAAATTTCCAAACATTTTTTTAATTTTTTTCAAATCATATAAACAAAATGCTTCCTAAAGCCATTTTACAATGTATTAGGTTGAACCAAAAGTAGCGGGACACTTTATAATTAAAAAATAAGTAAAAAGTGTCCCGCCACTTTTGGTTCAACATAATAATTAGTCTTCATAATTTTACATTTTTAAAATTACTTTCGTATAACTTTTCACCCGCAGGTCGCGCAACATTCAAAATTTGACGCTTTTATAAAAAACAGCAAAAAATTTAAAAAAAAATGAAAAATAGAAAGAGCTTTCTTTACAGGTCATAAAATGGCAATAACTTTCTTTACAAGCTTCAAAATAGCAAAAACTTTCTTTACAAAACAAAAAATGGCAAGAACTTTCTTTACAAAGCAAAAAATGACAAGAACTTTCTTTACAAGACCTGGAATAGCAAACACTTTCTTCACAAAGCCCTAAATGGCAATATCTTTCATTCCAACCCTCAAAATGGCCATTATTTTTTTTACTAAAGGGAAAAATGACCCAAAACACCATTTTAAGCCAGATCCAATAAAGTTTTACTCAATTTACCTTGCCTAATTCGACGTATCCTTAAAAATTCGCGAATATTTTTTTATTTCATCACTTTTTTCGGGACCCGATCAGCGAAAGACCTTTACATAAAAACTCTTGTAATTACGAAATCTTGCTAGAAAAAGAGGGCGGGGTGGAGGAATTGAAAACGTTTTTTGTATATTTTTTGTAGCTAGGCATAACTTTATTAAATACGATATTAGGTATCAAAAATATATGAAATGGTAAAGGCTTTCTTAATAACTCTCGTTACAAAATTAATAATTGCAAAAACTTCCTTTACAAAACAAAAAATGGCAAGAACTTCCTTTACAACACAACAAGTGGCAAGAACTTTTATTCCAAAACCCAACATTTCAAAAAAAAATTTTATATGCCATTTTTGAAAAATCATCAAATGACCCATCTCCATTCTAAATTAAACCCAACCCCACATTAAATTCATATTAACCCTTTATATTACCCATGAACACCCACAATGTCCATAAATTCACGCCCGTTCCGTGAATGAGTCACTTTTTTCGAGGCTTTTCCCAAACAAACAAATAAAAAACAGCGTTTACCGGTCACATATTACTATTAATCTTGATTAGTAAGCGTTTTTGTGTTAACATGGCAGAAAACAGGTAACAAATTTTTATTAGTGCACTGCTATAATATATAAGAACCAAACCAACGGAGGCCCTACGGGCCTCCTATGGTCTGGATACTTTAGTTTTGTTTTATTTTAATGTAAAATTATTTTATAATAACATAAAATGTTAATATCTGTAAAAAAAGGCTCGGGCCTACGGCCCTCGCGCATTTCCTTTAATTTTAACTTTAGATATTGTATTTTTGTTTTATTATAATGTAAAATTAATTTATAATAACATAAAATTTGAATTTGTTGAAAAATTTTAGTTGTTAAAAAGGCGTCGGCCTGCGGCCGTCGCGCGTCTCCTTTAATTCTAACTTTAAAATGCACTTTTTTGTTTACAAAAACAATCTAATACTTTGCCATTTCAATGCAGTATGAATCCTGAAACCATTTTGAGTATGATACGCTTTAACTCATTTTTATTTTAATATTACTTTTACTTTTAAGACTCGTTTATCAAACAAAATAAAATATACAAAAAAACCCGGTGCTTTTTGGTATTTACCTTACCCATACCAATACCTATATTCATACCCCTACCCATATTATACGCATACCCTCACCCTTGTCCATATTTATTTCCATACCCTCACCCATGCCCATATTTATAACCCTACCCATTCCCATATTTATAATCATACCCCCACCCATGCCCATATTTTTAGTCATACCCTCACCCGTACCCATATTTATACCCATGCCCATATTTATACCTTTACCCCTCCCTATATTTATACCCTTAACCTCACCCATACCCATATTACAACCCTTGCCCATTCCCATATTTGTAGCCATACCCTCACCCATACCCATATTTATACCCATACCCTCACCCAAGCCCATCTTTATACCCATACCCTTACCCCTCCCTATATTTATACCCTTACCCTCACCCATACCCATATTTATACCCACACCCCTATCCTTATTCATACCCATGCCTATACTTTTTACCATAAAGTCAATAAATTTTCTTAAATTTTTCAAAATAATTAGTATCATACTCAAAATAGTATCACAAAACATACTTACATGTGCCATCGTATTTTCCTTAAAAAACCATTTGAAATCCGACCGCTCTCCATCGACAATTTCCATGCGACTGACCGATTTCTTTTTTGAAAATTCATAATATTTTTATTTTAAAATTGATTTTTTTTTGAAAATTTGCATGACTCTCTCACTTGCACTTTCTTTTTGCCTCAGACATCCACCGCTCTGCATTCAGTGCGGGGACCAGACCAACATGGTCTGTGCATTTTTGTTTTATTTCATTTTATACAATATTTATGAATTTTTATAAAGTAAATTATGTTATAATGACATAAAACTTTAGAATTTGTAAAAAAAAAGCACCGGCCTGCGGCCGTCGCGCGTCCTTTAAATTCCAACTTTAAAATTGACTTTATTTTGAATCAATCTAATAATCTGCTATTTCAATGCAGTATGAAATCTGAAATTATTTTGGGTATGATACACTTTGATTTATTTTGTTTTTTAAATTGTTACCTTTAGCACCCGTTTGTAAAAAAAATTATAAACCCGGTAATTTTTTGAATTTACCTTACCCTTATCAATATCTGTATTCATACCCGTACCCATATTTATGCCCATGCCCATATTTAAAATCATACCCACATCCCTCCCACATTTATACCCACACCCATGCCCATATTTATACCCATACCCACACACCTGTCCACATATATACCCACACCCATCCCTATATTTATACCCATACCCACATCCTTCCCCACGTTCATACCCACACCCCTGCCACATTTATCCCCACACCCCTACCCACATTTATACCCACACCCATGCCCATATTTATACCCACACCCCTGCCCATATTCATAACCACACCCCTGCCACATTTATATCCATACCCACACCCCTGCCACATATATACCCACACCCATCCCTATATTTATACCCATACCCACATCCTTCCCCACGTTCATACCCACACCCCTGCCACATTTATCCCCACACCCCTACCCACATTTATACCCACACCCATGCCCATATTTATCTTCATACCAATACCCATATTTACACCCCTACCCACGCCCATATTTATACCCATACTCTCAACCTTTCCCATATTTATACCCAAACCTACACCCATATTCATACCCATGCCTATACTTTTTATCATAATATCAATAATTTTAAAAACTTTCGTAAATGTTACAAAATATTTGGTATCATACTCAAAATAGTATCAGAAAACATACTTACATTACCATCGTATCTTCCTCAAAAAACCATTTCCAACCCGACCGCTCTCCACCAAAAATTTCCATGCGACTGACCGATTTCTTTTTTTTAAATTTCATAAAATTTTCATTTTAAAAATGATTTTTTCAAAAATTTGCATGACCCTCTCAGTTGCACTCAAAATGTCCCGATTAGCGGCTTCATTATTTTTGCCTCAGACATCCACGGCTCTCCTTTTAGTAAGGGGAACCAGATCAACGGACGCCCTCCGGGCGTCCTATGATCTGGAGAGGGCCCCTTCGGGCCCTCTACTTTTACTTCTGCTTTTACTTCTAATTTACTTTATTAATCTAAATTTATTGGCTCGGGCCTGCGGCCCTCGCACGTCAATAATTTTCACTCAAATATTGTAAATACCGAAACATCTCATTAAAACTTGGCTCGGGCCTTCGGCCCTCGCACATCTTATATTTTAAAAAGCAAAACCTAAAAATTTCGAAAATTGTACACAATAATCAGTATCATACTCAAAATAGTATCAAAACATTTGAAAACACGACCGCTCTGTGCCAAAAAAATTCGTAAAACTGACCGATTTCTTTTTTCAAAATTTTACAAATTTTTTTAATTTTTACTGATTTTCCCAAAAATTTGCATGACCCTCTCAATTTAGTACAGATGTACTCTTATTTTTGCCTCACATACGGCTCTGCATTTAGAGCCGGGGATGATGACTTACCTTGATTGAGCACGGCGTAGAGGTTGACGACGACTTTCATTTCTCTAAAATAATTTCATCTTGAGTAAAAATTTTTAAAATGGCAAGAACTTTATTTACAGGACAAAAAATGGCAAGTACTTTCTTTACAAAGTAAAAAATGTCAAAAAATTTCTTTACAAATCAAAAAATACTATTCATCGTATAACTTGTCACCCGCAGGCTGCAAATTTCAAAAATCCTTGCCTTTCAAATAAAAATCTCCCCACCCACGCCCCTACCCACCAAAACTTTCTTTCCAACCAAAATTCCTTACCAATGGAGTAGATCTTGTCTTGTACAACCCAGCCTTCGGTCTAATCCCTCCAACATCTTCACCTTCCGACTGCCAACTCCGCGCACTCTCTCTGACCGTCGACGAGCGTGTTGTCACATCATCGACCAGGTTTTCGGCCGAAAACGAGATTTTAGTCGGCTTCTTGACAGCTGGCTTCTCATCGGAATCGGGCATGAATCAACCGGCGGTCGATTCTGTGATGGACCGGCAATTAACTGAAATTTAGTTAACATTAGAAGAAAAATAGGTTGAAGAGCACGGAACGACAAAATAATTGTTAACAGAGCACGAAACGGCAAAAACTTTCTTTACACATCAAATAATGACAAGAACTTTCTTTACATCTGAAAAAATGGCAAGAACTTTCTTTACACAGCAAAAAAAGCTAATAAATACGTAAAAAATTAAATCAGCCCATCAAAAATCGTATTTTACAATAAGAACTAACGAGTTTTACTCAAATAAACAACAGTTTGAGGTAAGAAAAACAAATTTCAAGAGGCTTTTCAAAAAAAATTACAAAAAGAGAAACACAAAAAAAAGTTTTCGGGTTTTTCGACTTTTTATCAACGAGAAACTTGACCATATAAAACAACAAGAGCTTGCACAGCCCGCCTAAAACAACATTACGCTTGTTCGTCCCGATTTTAATTTGAATTCGTTTAAACTAAGATCAATTTTAGCTCAATTTTGCTTAAATTCGGCTTATTTTCGGCCAAAGTTGAGAATTCTTTATCAAAATCCTAGTTTTATGGCAAGGTTTTTAATCATAAATAATTTTGGGTATAAGATATATTAACTTAATCAATTTCAAAAGCGGCGTAAATAAATTGACTTAACAATTTATCAACACAAAAACCCATAAAATTAGTTTGGATACCCAAAAAATGAAAAAGCTCTTGACCACAACCCAAAAACCCATGAATAATATCGGCTTAAACGCGCCAAAACTTTCTTTTACCTTGTCACAAAGAATCAGAACAAAACCTGCAACACTCGTCAGACATTGTGTAAACAATATCGAAAAGATTCATTGCTATAAGAACTCTTTAATTTGCATAACTTTCCGTTTTTCGGGTTTAGCATCGGGAAATCTGGTAGTGGACACCGGGTTTGAGCATATTTTCAAGATTCTAAAGCGATTCACAGTGAGACAAGCCATAACCTGAAGAGTGCAAGTTCAGATTTCTATGATAACATTGAGCGGCTGTAAAATTTTCAAAAACAAAACAAACAACCCAAATAAAATCTAAAACGATGTAAATTGTGATTCTAGATGCTACAAAAAAATAAGTCAAAATCTTAAGTTACCTTCGTACAGCACCTGGACTCACACCATATCCATAAAGTAAAATTTGTGTCCTTTTAATCATCTCAAAACCTTATATGGCCCGTATATAATGTGTTATGTCGTAAAAAATATTTCACATACCACGAAGATACCCGACTACGTAATTCCATCCCCTTATCATGTTTTTATTCCCTTCAATTCACTCAAAATCACCGTATCTTTAAAAATTCAAACATATTCCATTAAAATTTCAAAAATTCTTTGAATTCCATTATCACCAGCTGAAGGTAATCAGTGATTGTTACCATAACTTATCGCTGATCAAAATTCCTTCCATTTTTCGTATTTTTTCTTGATTTCTCCTTGTTCCGACGAAATGCCACAAATTTATCGGATGTTGCGAAGTGTCACAAGAAATTCTCCAGCTTTTGGAAATTATTTTTGGATGAAACTTTTGTAGATAAACGTTGGTTTGGTGGATATATCTGTAAGAGTTTAAAAATATTTTGCGTTTAAAGTAGTTTAGATTGTTTTCAGAATGTCTGGGATTATTTTTGCCCGGACTGTGGCTTTGCGGCCACTTCAACAAGTTCGCTTTGCTTCCAGACTTGAGTAAGTTAATATTTTTGATAATTTCATTTATTCTACCTGTTCGAACTGGACAGTTTTTAAGTAAAATGTCGTATATTGTATTCCTAATCTATTTAACGATAAAAACCGGAATTTTGTGTTTTCAGGCAAAGACCAGATTTGTCTTTGTTCAAGGAGATCAATCAACTTGCCCGTAACGGTCAATGGGATGCCATCAACAATGCTCCACCACGTTACAAGTTCTTTAACAGAGAACAGTCATCGTATACGGCGTGGAACAAGTTGGTATGTTTTTTTAATTAGTTTGCTTTTGATTTTTAGGTAATATTCATGTTACACTAGGCGTCTGGGACGATAAACAATTTTTTCATATTTTACCAAGTTTTACTATTACTGTTTGTGCACAAATAGTTAAAGTATATCATTAAAAGTATTACTTTAATAGTTTTACGTGCAACGGTCACTTGTTTTATGTTTGAGGTGGATAATTTATATTACCCTTGACATTTAATGTTATTTTCGATGTTCTAATCGTTTTATTAGCTTTTACTAAACTTATTTAGTACAATATGTTTAAGAAGGCTGTTTTATCAGTTATTTGACCAAACTTGCTAACAAACAATCTCATTAATCCTATTTAAGGAGCCAAAAACTGGATTATTCGATCGTTTCCCCGAAGGATGTGAAGTCAGAAACATTGTCACTTTGATTGGTCTTGTCTGTTTTTTCAAGCTCTTGAACATTGGCTACAACACTTTTGTGCCTCAAGAATACAGATGGCAATTGAAACGAATTCAGGCGTCAGTTTCGCACCATTTGGACGATGGTCGGGACGGCGATCGCGGAAATCACGGTGGAGAAAATCACTAGGTTTGAGTGTATCATTTTTAGAATAAATTGATCGAGAATTGTGTTGAGGTCGTTGAGAATGGGCAACATTCTTGTTGGTAGAGGAGAGGGGTTGTTTTTGCTTGCACTGTACAACTATTTGGTTTATTGCCCGTTGCACCGTGCACGGCCAAATAATTAAGTTTTTTTATCAATGCTGAGTCAAGAATTACGATCATTTATTACAAAATTGGCAAAACTTCACAAAATAAATCCATAAAAATTGTAATAAAATGGCATTCAGTAATTGATGTTACAGTAACCTTATTCGGCCAAAAAACCTAAATTTTTACTTAAAGCAAATTAGCTAAAACAAAACATATTTTTTATTCTAAATTAGTGTAAAGCCCTAAAATTTATGTTAAGATTACTGTAACAATCAAATCAACGTAAAAGCAAAGCAGTTTCGTGTAGAAAATGAAGAAAGGGGGATGAGTTAAGGCAAAAATACCCGTGGAAATGGTTAGAAAAAGCTGTAAAAATACGCCTATTAAGTTTGGCAGTGAATGGTATTAAGCAGAATCATGGTATTATTAAGTTTTTTCCGAAAAAAGTACATTATTAAAGGCTTGGAAATCGAAAAAAAGAAAATTTTACAGTATTTTTTCAAAAAAAAAGATAAAATTGAAAAATGAAAACTTTAAAAAATTAAAAGTTACAGTACATTAGACAACTTGAACCCTGAAGTACAGTAAAAATTGGTATAATATTAAAGTTGGTATTGGTTCGACATTAAGAAACCTAAAAATTATTCGAAAAATGTTTAAAAAATTTTAAAATTAAGAGGTCGGGATTGCAGAAAACAAGAAAAATTGAGTTATATTACACTTGAGGGGCTTTCGAAATGTTACATTAGACCTGACGGACTTTAAATAAAAGCGTTTTAGAAGAATTTGGATTAGTAAACTTTTTAGTACTGGTACTAAAAATGGTGCACTTTTTGGTTCTAGTGGTCCTGATTTTCAAAAGAATCGTTAAAATGGCCCTTTTTGGCCATAAAAAGGCGCCAAAACTAGCCCTGGACCAGCTTTTGGTCTAATTTCTCCAATGAGGTACCAAAATCTAGTCCAATCCGTCCAAAAAAGTACCAAAGTCCACTCCGGGTCGAAAATTGTCCTAAATTGCAAATCCAATCCTAAAATTGCCAGTCCGGTCCACCGCATCATCATCACGCCTGGTCTGGTCTAGTTCAGGGTTGGTCTAGTCCTGGTCGTCGCGTAGCCGCTGCTGCTCCGAGTCGTGAATGTTTTTCCTGCAACGAACACGTTTAACAATCGTAGGGGGAATTCCCGCTAACTCTTCCTTGGCGACGTCGTAGCTCTTGCGTCCAGCCCGCTTCTTCCAGTACGCGCACGAGTAGATGATGACGAACAGGAGGATCAGGATGATGATGATCACGATCAGTGGTACCAGCCAGTCCAAACTACCTGAAATTTTGAGAATTATACTTTTTGGTGCTAAAAATACGTATTTTTGATGATTTTATCAAATTTACTTTTGGTACACTTTTTGGTACCACTGGTACCGATTATTCAAAAACTTAAAAAATGTTTGTTATAACCCAAAAACCCTTATAATATCCTTTTTTCAATAAATAATAGTCGATAAAACACCAAATATCGCACTATTTCATCAAAACACCTGATATTATCCTTACCCGTAACTCTCAATTGTTGATCCAAAATCAAGTCGAACTTGGTCTCTTCCGCATCCAAATAGACTGGAAAAGCGTTCGAAGCAACACACCGATAAGATCCAGCGTCTTCGTCCGTTACATCGTAGATTTTCAACTGATTATGTTGAATTTTGAACTTGGCCGACGGTTCGATGAACTCGCCCTCTTTGAACCATCGGAAATCCGGCTTTGGATAACCTTTGGCTGGACACTCGAGGATTGCTGTTGTTCCTCGAACAAATTTTGATGATGGACCATTGAATGCGAAGAGGTTTTCTTCGTCTTTAAAGTCCAGACGGAATGAGGAGTTTGTGTGGAAGACTGGTCGTACTAAAATTAGAGTTTAGGTACTATTTTTAGAAAATTTTTCCAAGATTAGGTTAACATTATCTTCCATAACTTTTTCCCTATCCAAAAATACCAAAATCATATCAAAATTCCATCCCTTCATCGAGATAGCTACATTAATATAGCTCACTCCAAAAAACCGAATCCAAATAACAATATATTGAGCAATATAACACTCACAATACACAAACAAGTTTCCGTGCACCATTTCCTCTTCTTCTGTCACAATTTCACATTTGTATTTTCCCGTAGCCAACAGATTTTGTGGACCTAGATCGAGGTATGCCCGACGATTGTCAATTCGAGCTTGTAGCTGTTTGTTTGGATTGTAATGTAGAAACCGTGCACTTTTTACTGGCAGCTTTACATATTCTCCGTCTGGTCCTTTTGCTACTGCTTGACACCTGAAAAATTGATTTTAATATGTTGTTTTAGATTCAAAGACGTATGAAGGCTTAACATCAAATTTATGTAAGTTCAGGCAATGTTAACGCTATCAAAAGCTAGTATAATCCTCCTGAGGTCCTGAAGATTATACAAAATGTAAAAAGGAAGTTTTAATACCTAAAAACTTACCATAAAGCTGTCAAATTGTCCGAAATCGGGTGATTTTCGCTGGATTTTCCACTTTTCGGATGAAAAACCAGCTGTAAATTACCTTGAGCAAATGCGGCCAACGTCGTTTCGACCGCAAGATGTAGTACGATCACTAAATATCATGTTGTAGTTAAATCGAACCCTATTGTACATCAATATTACGGTTAAACATAATTTTATATAAACATATACCTCAATATTTTACAAAAATTATAATTTTTTCATTTTTTGATAAAACAACTAAATTTTCATGGCTAAAAAAATATAATATACGTGTTAAAACATACGTAACAACAAGATGTTCTTCATGTTCTTCTCTATTCAGGTTTTTTGAGCACAAAAATAAGAGATTCGTCAGTATGGACGACGCATATGGACCTGAAGTTATATTATACGTAAGTAAATAAACTTATATTTAAGATGTCGCGGTAGAAATTGATAGATCATAAACAATATTACTTGTCTTTAACTGATTTTGAAGTCTATTCTTCAGTTTTTACAAAATTATTTCGAAATTCCAAAATCGGAGTGATTTGAACGGAAGGCCAAAGCGTTATTAGCAACTATTTGTTTTCGCGTCAGAACCTCATCAACTAAAGGGCGGCGCAAGGTTTCTCAGACAGAATTCGTTCTAGAATCCCTAATAACAGACGATTATCGTTACAAAATACGTTTTTTTCACCCGGACACCCAGTGAGTTTGCTCAAAATATGTTGTGGAAACGAATATCCGCGCCATAAAGTTATTTCCCCGCCAGAAATTGAATAAATCTGTCTTCTTTTTTCCATCTTTTTGTGGCCAAATACTTTTTTTTGTTTTTGTGTGGAACTTCTAAATGACAGCTCCGAGTGTAATATAAACGTTGACAAATTGCGCGGAATTAGCCTTGGGAACGTACGGAGGTAATTTATTTTTTTTATTAAGGCTATGGATATTAATATTGAGGGAGGCAGGAGGTGGTTGGGGAAAAAGTGTTGTAGTTAATATATTAGTTATGGTTTCTGGCCAAATTTTTGAGGAGTGAAGGGTAAGATGTTTAGCTAACTGTAGGGCATAAAGAATTTGGTGGGTAGGGTAAATTTTATAAAATAGGGGTGGATTTTCAAAAAAATTGTTAAAAAATTTAAGTTTTGGCTAAAAATGGTCATAACTGCCAGAACGAGATAAATTTAGTTAGGATGGAGCAAGCATAAGTTAAGGTAGGGTAAATCACGCTAAAACCACTACCCTACGTAATCCATAAGTTTCGTAAAGTACAGTTTTTTTCGAAAGAAATAAAAACGAAGCCGGCTTCTTTCCTCCCAAATCTCTGAATCCCCAAACTTCAGAAGTCATTTAAACGCGTTTAGTCCGCAAAAAGAAGAAAATCTATTAAAACGTATAGTTGATGTATAATGTATATCTTCTTTCAACATACGACACATAATCTGATTTCGTATGTTTGGAAAATATCGTTTTTTTCGAAAAAATGTCATTTTTTATTATAGTGAGCAATAAGATACAGGGCATAAAATGGCCTTTCTTTACAAGGCTTAAAACGGCAAGAACTTTCTTTACAAAACAAAAAATGGCAAGAACTTTCGTTATGAAACAATAAATGGCAAGAACTTTCTTTACAAAACAAAATGGCAAAGATTTTCTTTACAAAACAAAAAATGGCAAGAACTTTCTTTTCAAAACAAAAAATAGCAATAACTTTATTTACAAACAAAAAATAGCAAAAACTTTCATGCCAAGCCCCCAAAACAATAAAACTTTAAAAAGTAAAGTAAAAATGACACAAAAATTAAAGTGAAAACTTTAAAACCGCCTTCTGACTAATACAAAAGCGAAAAAGAAACCTGGCTTTACAATTTTAGTTACAAAAGAAAATTATGATGACTAATTGTAAGACATGACTTTTGTTTTCCCTTTGGCTACTGGGTGAGGAAAAGCTGTGGTTTTAGTAATGAGACTGGTCGTAAAATTGAAAAAATCAGGTTCCAACTTTAAAAAATGGCAATAACTTTGTTTATAAAAATAAAAAATGAGAGGAAGCGGGATTTATCGTATAACATGTCGCCCGCAGGCTGAAAAACACAAATTTTTATTATTTTGTTCGAAAATTGCAAAAACTTTCTTTACAAAACAAAAAATTGCAAGAACTTTCTTTACATAACAAAAAATGGCAAGAACTTTCTTTACAAAACAAAAAATTGCTTCAATAATGCGGGTATGGCTCGTTTAGGACACGGTAGCCTAGAGTTAGGTAAGCTAGGGTAAGGTAGGCTAGGGTTGAGGTAGGACGTAGTAAGGTAAAAATCGGCTTTTTCAAAATATTTTTTTGGTGACAAAATGTCATATAATTCTAAAATAAATATTTTTTTGCAAAATATTTGCCCTCCAGCTTTTAAAACCACTATTTGTCGGACTAGAACTATCCTTAAATACTATAATATAACGCGTTCCTATACTTTTTATGCATGGCAAGAAAAGCGAAACGCAAACATATTGATAAAGAGATTTGTAACAATCAAAATGGTTTTTTGAAAATTTTTAAAAAATATTGTTTTAGTAGGTTTTGCCCGGATCGGTCCGGACGGTTTTTTTAGTCCAATCTCAAAAATTTGGTTCCAGTCCGGTCCAACCCCAAAACATTTATGTCCGGTCCGGTTCACAAAAATTTCAGTTCGGGCCGGACGGGCAAAACATTGCCTCTACCCTTACTGCTACCTCTACTCCTGCATTTTCCTATACCCTTACCCCACACAACCTCACATCCCACCCACCCTAACTCAGACCACCCCTACTCGACAATAACCACCCCGCCCTAACCAAAACGTTTGTCCGAAACGGTCCATTAAATGACTTAACCCAATTACCGGCCCCATTAAACCAACTAAATACAAGTTCTGATTACAAATTAATTGAGAGCCAAAAGACATTCGAAACCCCCTCCCTCTCCCCCCCCCCCTCCCGGATCTTTAAATTGGACAAATAAAAGAAAAAGGAGAGTGCTTGACCCTAACGAGCTGAATACATTAAAGTAAATAGATAATGAAGGAAATGTCAAAACAGTTATTTAAGGCGAGGAGGGAGGGGGGACGGGAGAGAGGGTGGATGTGTTGTTTATAGTGTTATTGTTGGTTGGCTGTCGTAAATATATAGGGCAGAGTAGACATATTTTTGGGGTAAGGGTCGGGCAGGACTAAGGTTATGGTAGTGTATCATAATAGGGATAAAATTTAAGGTATGGCAAAATTTTGGGCATGACAAGTTTCGGTACGATAAAAGTTTGGGCATGGTAAAATTTTTGGCATGGTAAAAATTTTGGCTATGGTAAAATTTTGGGTCTGGTAAAAGTTTGGGTATGGAAACATTTTGGGCATGGTAACATTTTAGGCATGGTAAAATTTTGGGCATGGTAAAAGTTTGGGCATGGTAAAATTTTGAGCACGGTAAAATTTTTTGCTCGCTGCAATTTTGGGCATGGTAAAATGTTGGGCATGGTAAAGTGTTGAACATGGTAAAATTTTGGGCATGGTAAAATTTTAGGCATAGTAAAATTTTGGGTATGTTAAAATGTTGGGCATGGAAAAATTTAGCTGTATGAGAAAAATTATGGGTAGGATAGAGTAGGGTAGTGTTAGGGTTTGATTACAACTACTAAGGCCAGGGCAGAGTAAAAAACCCACTAATTCAGCCCTAAAACCCAAAACCGGCCCAAAAATTAAGTTCGAATTGAAAGTGCAACAAAGTTTAAAAGTGTCAAAACCAAAGAATCTGGGAAAGGAACGATGAATAGAGCGCAAATTCCAAACTTTCCCTTAGGCAAAGTTTTTTTCCAAACTTTTTCAAAAGACTACAAAAAATAGCTCCTTTTTTTGGCCTAGAGATGAAATGGCCTGATAAGCGGCCAATTTCAGTTCCTTGGTCTACTACACAATAAGGGTTGTTTTTTGTAAGTGAAGCCACTTTTTGCAGATGTTTTTTTTAATTTTAGTTTAAAAAAAAATTTTTAAATTTTAAAAATAAAAAAAAATTTAAGCCTACCATAGTATGCCTAAGCCTACTAAGCCTAAGTCTACTGAGCCTAAGTCTACAAAGCCTAAGCCTACTAAACCTCAGCCTACAAAGCCTAAGCCTACTAAGACTAAGCCTAAGCCTACTAAGCCTAAGCCAGTTTAAAAAAAATTTTTAAATTTTAAAAATAAAAAAAAATTTAAGCCTACCATAGTAAGCCTAAGCCTACTAAGCCTAGGTCTACTGAGCCTAAGCCTACTAACCGTAAGCGTACTAAGCCTAAGCCTACCAAGCCTAAGCCTACTAAGCCTAAGCCTACAAGCTTAAGCCTCCTAAGCCTAGGCCTACCGAGCCTAAGCCTACTAAGCCTAAGCCTACTAAGACTAAGCCTAAGTCTACTAAACCCAATCATACCAAGCCTAGGCCTATTAATTGTAAGCTTACTAAGCCTAAACCTACCTACTAAGCCTACTATACCTATGCCTAAGTTCATTAATTAAATAATAAACTACAACGCCTCAGTTTGAAAAAATAAGCCTATGAAGCGTAAGCTTACTAAGCCTAACAAGGGCACTAATTTTAAGCTTATGGATCTTAAGCCTTCTAATCCTACGCATACTTAAAAAAAGACTAGAAAGGCTAAGTCTACCGCGCATAAGCTTACCAAGCCTAAGATGCGGCTTAAACCTAATGCAAACCTAAATTTTACTTTTAAAATTGTAAAAAGTCCAAAGAGGTTATTTTTAACAACTTCAAACCCCTCAAAAACCATCAGTAATCAAACAAAAAGTAACCCTTCGACCTTTTTTAATCAAGAATCACATTTTTAATCAAAAAATCACAGCCACTTTTGCAAAATTCGAAAAAATAATTTCAGCGTTTCCTAAAAATGGCAGTCTTTGGTGATTCCGCTGATTTACGAGCCTTTTTTCGAAAATAATCCCCACCCGATTCGTCTGTCCTTTCTTGTCACCTTTTAATGCCCGCACAAGGAAATGGCTGGATTTTCGATTTTTTTTAAACTTTCCGGGTTCATTAACTTTAAACTTCGTTTCTTTTGAAAATATAGCAAAAACTTTCTTTACAACTCAAAAAAAGGCAAGAAATTTCTTTACAAAATAAAAAATGACAAAAACTTTCTTTACAAAACATGACATGACAAGAACTTTCTTTACACAATAAAAAATTGCAAGAACTTTCATTACAAAACAAAAATAGGCAAGAACTTTCTTTACAAAATAAAAAATGGCAAGAACTTTCTTTCCAAATTAATAAATGGCAAGAACTTTCTTTACAGAATACAAAAT